GGGGCGTCGAGACACGTACGTGCGCACTTAAAGACAGCCACTTCTAAAATGAAGGGAGGTCCGTCATAAAAATTGGACAGAACAAAATGGACCAGAGTAGACTGTCTCCTTAAAAATATAAACATTTCATCCGTTAAGAAAAAACGAGCGCCCATGTCTTCAAGCAAACAAAGCAGTTTATACGCCAGAAAAGCCAGGTGAAAATGAAACATTAGAAATCGACGACATTTTAAATATTACTGAAAATTCTGGAAAGAGTTGCTTTACTTTGCACATAGAAAATGGAAAGAAAATCTACTCTAAACATAGTAGTAGTCTACCTAAGCTATCTGCAGGCCAGAGCAGGGGACTACTTATCCATTTGGCTGTGAAACTCCGGAATGCCTCATAAAAACCATTACACTCGGCACATGCGAGCGGAAAACTGAATCTCTGTCACCTTTTCGAACACGAATATCCTTTTACTGTTGTTTTTTGAAAACTTCAACTCCATGAACTTGGAAATTATGGTGGAGTCTTTTTATTATCTCTACCGACGAAAATATTAAAAAATTCCAGGTCACAACGTAGACGTATCTATTATGTTACTTTACAATAACAAAAACTGTAGATATGAGGCTATCGTACTGGGCGTTGACAAGAATAATTTATCTTTGGCAACCATAAATTATTATCCCAAGTGAGGTAAATTGACTCTGTAAGATATTATCTCCTCTGAGGGGACGATATTGCATGCCTGGAATATTTCCTTTAGTTAATCAATGATACATGCTTCGGCATAGATGTCAATGTCTTTAGAGGAATATCGTATGGAACTTTCAAGTAAAAAAGGCAAAGAAAAATAAAATTATTTAATATAATTCGACCTAAGTGGACAGGTTCCCATAATAGCCTGGGGCGTCCAACCCTCGGCCACTGTAAAGTTATTTTAAACAATCTAATGCGGCTCCAACAATGGTCCTCCGAAACTGACCAAGTCGACCCTTGGAAAACATTAAATCAAGTTCAATGTGATGGTCGCTTTATGCTTTAACTGTTAGGTGCGTTTATCGGGAAATTCGATCTTATATCGCCGGAAGGGGTTTGTTTAGATTTTTTAAGAATTATTGGTCCCTGTACTGTAGTTTTTTTGTGATAAGGATTTAGTTCGAGCTTAAGGGTTACTTTCAAAGTGGAATACTATGGTTGAGTTAACACACAAACTTACTTTAGTTTCTTTAAGACTTTTAATGTGTAAAAATAGATTTTAAAATTTACTAAAATTTGTCGCGTCACTATGTTTCGCGATTGCTACTCCTTAGAATGAATAGTTTTTCAGACCTAAATCGCGTGTACGAGTATATTTGTTTTTCAAACAAACCAAAATTTCGGGCTATTTACAGGTGCCACGGTTACTACAATTTAATATTAATACAAACTACCATATTCTATACTATAGTTGCAAAAGTTATTAATTTAAGTAAATATCTTATTTTACTTTACCAAAGAACATTTCAATTTACGCTACATACGATTTGCAAAACGACTTTTTTTTACTGAATTTATTGATTAAATGGAAATTAGACTACATTTCCTATTTTATTTAAATCAGTATAATATCTGATTTCTTATCATTGATCTAAAGTTGAAACATCATGAAAAGTGACTTTTTAGTTGACGTTATAAAGTTTTATTAAACCAAACTATTATGAAATGCAAGATGAACTTATTATCATAAAGTAACAACAGCAATTACCTCATCAACACATTAAGTAAGCCGCATAAACCAAACTCGTCGTCCAATTTTGAGACGACCTTACTCAGGTGTTATAAAGCGCGGTCTCGTGGGAGAAGACTGTAATCCGACGATCGTAAAGCAGGCCCATCAGGGGATCGCTTACGATGCACCTTGGCGGCGACGGTTTAGCACCCCTGACCGTAAACTTTTAGCTGATGTGTCTTAACACCGGAAAGAGTTTCATTAGCTACTCTGTTGCATAGCTGGGATATTATCTGTATTGTATAAACAGTAATACGATTTACATCAATATAATAAATAATTAAGAGACGGTCGCGTAGGTCCAGTGATTTGCACTGTGGACTCTAGATGAAGTGTTTCCGGGTTTGATACCCGGTAGGATCAATTTTTTTTAATAACACCAAGTGACGGAACGAACAAGTCGTTTGCCTGGTGTTAAGCGACATACCTGTCTATAACAGTTACAGCGCGACTCACCTTTAAATTGCAAAGATCTGGGACATAAGATAAGAAGTCCCATGTGCCTGTAATTTCACCAGCACCCTTACCCTTCAAAACCGGAACGTAGTAATGCTCATATTACCGTTTGATGGTAAAAGTAGGTAAGGCGGTAAGTACTTCTCTGAATGAACTCTTTCACAATGAACTCTACTGCTAATAATTTGGGAAACGAACTTATCTAAATTCTGGTCTGGGTATTCTGGGGGTCCTGGGGTTGAATTCATTGCTTTGGTAATCATAATACAGGGAATTTTATACCAGCGCCCCAAGTCTGCTAATTTTAAATCATTTCAGTTGTGTGTCGACAGAGTCGAGACATTTTGTCGACACACAACTCGTCGAGCTACTATTCAACTGCCATTGCATTTTTTTGTTATTCCGCTCTTCAATGGCGAGTCGATCACACGTCGTCGCTGTATTCTACTAATATTATACATGTCATCGCTTAGCAAACAACACCGCTCTAGTCGAAAAATGGCGATTTTATTTTTGAACGTTACCCACGTCCAAATAAAACGTGAATATTAATAAAAATTTTGCAGCTAACTCATATACAATTAATTATGTGTCCATAAATAGAGCACTATCAATAATAGATTAGAAAATCTTGTATGCAATAATATTAGCGCAGTTTTTTCACTCCCCTTTAAAATTACTTAAAATTACTAGAGCGGTGTTGTCTGCTAAGCGACAATATTTAATTTTAAGACTGAATTGCTGTTTAAACGAGAAATAATAAGATATGCATATTTCCATGACACTTTTTACTAACGCAACGTCGATCGGTGAATGAATGTCATCACTCACTGTCGTCGTCACATCGTCACTTCACTGGTTCCACTCTATTGAGACTTGACTACTAGTATAACTAGATTTTAGCGGAATAAAAAATATACTTCCCGATAAATAATTCGAGCCACCACGCATTTTCAGTACTAAGTGCCCTACGCGTAAACAATGTTTGATTGATCAAAAACTATTATGCAATTTTGAAACTAGTATACTAAACGTCTTTCCCATAAGTCCTTGTTGGGAATTTGGATTGTAAAACCGGGGAAAACTTTTTCTTCGATGATAATACTATTTTTGTATTCTAGCCCTTTACGATAAAAATGCGAGGTGACTCGAATTATGTGTCCGGGAGTATATTATCATAATTGCAATATAATGTCTGGAGTCTCAACAGAATTACAATGATCAGTGGTTTGAAAAGGGGCCCAATTCTGCTAATTTTCTTATATCATATTTGTTATTCCGTTAAAATCTAGTTTCAATGGCTCTCTAGTTGAGTTTCAACGGAATGTCAGTGATGGCATATTCATACATTCAATTACTAATCAATGTTGCCTTACTAAAACTACTCCATATGCATAGTAATTGCTCCAATGTAGTGCGGCACTGACAGGTATCCCCAGTTGCTCGGAGATTTGATACGACTACCTTTTGAGACTTCTGGCCCTAGTTCGCTTTTCCTCCACCTTCCCTGTCACCATCAAAAGTGTCAGGTTAGTAGCATCTCTACGTGTCACGTGACCATTATAGCGTATCACACGCATGCAAGTTAAAGACAGAAGCTGTGTATTCTTTATCTGGATTTCCTCAAGTGCAGAGACGTTGGTGTGGCGGGCTGTCCACGGTATCCTTCACATTCTGCGACAGCACCACATTTCAAAGGCGTCAATTCTTTACCTGTCGGCGGCTCTCAGTGTCCATGTCTCTGTCTCTTCAAATTTAAATGGGACCATTACTGAAGTACTCTCTCTTTCCTACAAAAAAATAATCATTAAAATCGTGTCACAAATCGAGTAGTCGCGTAACATACACACAAAAAAATACAGTCAAATTGAGAACCTCCTTCTTTTTTAAAGTCGGTTAAAAATAAGGTGGTCTTGCATTAACAATTGACATTGGTTGATGATTGTACCATCTCAGTTAGCCGTGACCATGGGACCTGTAAAAGACCCGAAACGTTGGTTTATTTAAAAAAAAATAAATATACACGATTTAGATCAGAAAAAATGATTACACACTGTAGTGAGTTACGGGTACCTAAGAGAAACAAAGTATAACAGATAGGTCTATAGAAGTTATCAGTCCATGTTCGGCGATTATTTGTTCCAAAAGGAATCTCAAGCGTTCACGAAGAGCAATAAAATGTAAATTTGTATCTTTTAACCCGTTTTAAATGTAAATGCCATACGTCTGACTAATAAAACACAGGACTCATTAGTAACCCCGCCCGTGGGTGTGGCGTGGGTGTGGCTACGAAAACACCCACCTGAGATTCATCATGAGAATTTTTAGGAATATTTTTCCACACACAAGTTTTTGTTTTTGAAATGTAAAATCCATTGAATGAATCGTTTTCCTAGGTAATTTTTGCGCTATGACCTTCTTTAGAGACTAATGATAATTTATTGAAACTATAGTCAAGAAATGTATTTAATATTTGTTAACTAAACATGGTGTTCCAAAAATCTACTAAATTAACCGTTTTCCTTACTAACTTTTGCGCATTGCCTTGTTTAAGACAATTTTAAGACTAATGACAATTTATTGAAACCATGGTCAAGAAATATATTTCATTTTTGTTGACTAAACATGGCGTTCCTAAAATCCACGAAATTATTGTTTAAGACCAATAACAATCAACTGAAACTATAGTCAACAAATCTACCTAATATTTATTAACTAAGCACGGTGTTCCTATCGATAAACAAGCGGTTAAATCGAGAAGCTAACCTTAATATTGTTTTCACAGTATTCTGGAGCTAAGAAAAGAGAAGAGTCGAGATGCAGCTCGATCTAGGCGAGGGAAAGAGAACTACGAGTTCTACGAGCTGGCGAAGATGCTGCCACTGCCCGCAGCCATCACCAGCCAGCTGGACAAAGCGTCAATCATCAGGCTGACAATTAGCTACCTCAAACTAAGGGACTTTTCTGGACACGGTGATCCGCCATGGAGTCGGGATCCTCCTCTTACCAGCAAGACATTGAAAGGTAAGACTGTAACTTAAAACGTACGGATCAAATTTTAAATGGCTTCAGTGTTGACATTGATCGAGGTACCATTGACGAGCTTCTCGTTTTTCAAAAAAATTGCTCTCAGTCATAAGCGATGACAATGACAAAAATATCATTCACGGATTTAGTTACGCATAATGATATACTGTGTACTGTGGCGCTGTGAAAGGGCTGAAGTCAAGATAAGTGAATGAGCTCTAATGATTTGACCCAACACCTCTTATGCAGAAGCAAGCGTGGCTTCTGTTAGCTGTGGCCTAAAACCTCGCCTGAGAGGAGGCCCGTGCCCAGCAGTGGGACGTATAAATGGAATGATGTTGTTGTTGTACTACCACTACACACAATGTGAGAGTCTATATAGAATATTGAGGATGCTCACAAGGTGCTGCGATCTACTAATCACAAATAAGTATCCATCTAATATATGTTTCTCATGTACGAGTATTCCACTTCAGCATAACAAAAACCTTTTTCTATAACTGCCCACAAATGAACTGTTTATTATATTAAAAACTAAGATTGTGCACTTGTCTATCACATTTAAACACTAAGGAACTCGGCTTAAATTACTCTATGAATTCGTTGAACTCAAGCCTTAATGAACATATTCTAGCACTAAGTTAGCCAAACATTTCCACCCTTGTTCAGCAAAACTATGCAAAATGAGTGAGTAGGTTTAAAATAACTGAGGAGGGTCGACAAATCTGATTTGCCTTCATCAAGTCATTGTCAGTGCTAACCCGGTTACCGCTCCCCTGTACAGGCATCACGGGCTGACACTACGTTTGTTTTGTCGCAGTCAGCATAAATCGTAGTACCAATACAATGTATTATAATATAACAATACGTTGAAAATAATAAGTATAGCTTATTTTAAAAACTGATATTTTTTATATAAGTACTTAAAATCAGAAAAAATATAACCATATCATCGTTTTTAAAAATGTATTTACTACATTGATTACATTGTTGCATATATCAAGCATAAGAGCACAATACATTCGTGGGGAGTTTTATTGCGCTATAAAACTTTCGTAGCTATATCCAGTAAAAAGAAAAACGTGAAGCCTAATTTCCAGCAGTCCACTGTACCAATCTATTTTTTTGTGTAGACAAAAACTAACAAAGCTCGGGGTAAATCACAAACATTGGCAAGCCAAGCGTGTACGCAAATAAATGCGCCTTGGGGACTCTGATTCACCACAATACGTCAAATAAATATTACCTATTCTATTGCGAAAAAACAAACGTTTGTTCTACTGAGTCAACATCACACATGGGCTTGATTGATTCAAGAAAAATGCCGTTTTTGAGAAGATTTATTTCCTGCTGTATCTAGATTAAATCTTCAATTAAAAAATGTTTTGATTCTTGTGTCAATCTCAGGTGCTCATCATATTTACATCTTTTCTGACTGAAAAACTGTTTAATACTAAAATTTTATTCACAATGTGTCTACATATATAGAGTCTAGTGTACCTATATATAGTTTTTATTATTGGCTCAAACTTTGATACTTCATATCGCAATCGATATAAATTTATTATAATAGCCTAAGTAACATAAGCACATACCTTTGCCAAGAGCTTTTTTAACAGCACACACTGGCTCTAAATTCGTAACAAGTGTACCAATAAAACGCCCCAAGACAAATCCAATTTTGGCCCCTAATGCGCTTAATGCGACCACGGGGCGAATCACTACGTATGCCACTGTCATTTTAACTCAATTTTCAAACAGTCTCTCCTTCCCACCTATAGATATATTCAAATAAAAATATTCGAGGCAATAAAACATAAGCATTTAGGGTGTCAAAACTGTCTCTCAAAATGTTGCGAGGGTTAAATTTTGAAATTTCGAATGTACTCACGTAGCAATAAAGATTTAGAAGACAGGAGTTTTGGAAAATATACTTCGATGTATCGTAAAAAATTGCCACCTTGAATTTGAGACGTGCTTCACATAAAGTTGGATTTCTACTTGCGGTTACAATAATGCATTGACTCGTTTAAGGAATTCCCAAATTTACGTATCGTGGTTTATTTTTACTGCAAAAAACCCAAGAAGTTTATAAGATTACCCAATTAGATTTAGGAGACATCTGTCAACATTTAAATTGTAAAGGACACCGTAGCTATTTAAAAATCTTAATTCATTCGTTGGGGCTAGACCCCACGACGTAACAATACTCCGCGAATTGGGCCAAAATTTTTAATCTAATCAATTAACAATCAGTGCAAGCGATATACCGCTTGTTAGTGCTGATTATTTAGTGTACGTGACTTGGTTGGTTTATTTAAATTGCGCTGGGGTTCGTTTGACGATTTTGTCTGGCCCGATTAATTGGTGTTTTCACTGCTCGTCTTGCGGTTGCCTAAATTAGTTTACTGTATTTAAGGGTGACTAGGTATTTTCTCTGTAGGCAATATTTCTAAATGGTCAGTTTTTTTTTAAAAACATCAAGTGACAGGACGAACAAGTCGAGCGCCTCATTGTAAGCTATACGCCTGTCTCTGATCTCTCTCTGATGAAGATCTGAGGGGCACTACCACCGCGCCCGTTCACCCTGAGATAAAAGTTGACAAGTCCCATGTGCCTGTAATTTCACCAGCACCCTTGCTGTTCAAAACTGAAACACAGTAGGTAATGCAGACATTACTGCTTGGCGGCAGAAATAGCTAAGGTGGCACTATCCAGGACAAACTCTTTCACAAGGAGCTCTACTGCTACTAACTGTTTCTTGGGTAATTTCAGTATTGGACGGAATTACATTTTTTTAAATACTTATGTATGTACGTACATACAAATAGTTTGTAATTGTTTTGTAAACAAATTTATGAAATTTTTTAAAATATATTTATTTCCTCTATTAGTAAATTAAGTGAAAATACAAGATGTACGTAGGGTGTAGCAGATATACAGAGTGTAACAAAATGGTGCAACAATATTCCAGCTGACGATCATTATGTATGTTATGAAACAAATTCAGCGAAAAAACATTTTGATTTCTTGTACCCGTATGGTTATTTAGAATTGATCGTGGGAATTTGCCATAATAAAGTTGTACTCGTAAATTTGTTACTTATTGTGATTATTAACTATACCATACTCCAGTGAAACCAATATTAAGCTTCCTTCGAATTGAACAGGACCTGGAATCCATTGTCTCACTAAAATACTACCGTATATTTTGTTCGTATAAACTCGATTGTCCCTCCACAGAGTCGTCAGAGTCTTTGTAGTTTCTAGCATCCAAATCGTGAAGGTATCGTCCTTTTCAGTTATGCCATAACGACCAGCACTTTCAGCTTTTTAGGCCCATCTTTATGAGTTTGCTTGACACATACAGCGCAACACGTTATAGGCATACTGCGTAACTTGGTTCTAAGATAAAATTTGAATACAAACTTTTGCGTTACAAAAATACAAACTAGCGACAATCAATAAGTGTGCTTATGTACGTCATTGGCGTTAGAGGAGATGTCTTTTCGAGATACGTTTCTTCAGGAACCTGGGGCTATAACTGATTTACATGAAACTTGAAGGTCAGCTTGACGAAATCGAACCTTTTTTTATTTTATTTTTCATTAAAAAATTAATTTGTGGATTTCATCTCCATCTCATTTGATGGAACTGACTGGATCAAACTGACGATGAGGTCGACGATGGTGTATGCACACCAAAATATGCCTATTCACTCTTGCCTTCAAAAGGCCCTTTATATTTCTGAAGTTTAAAATGGGTATCGTATTAAAGTGTATTACGCTGAGCATTTGACTGACTTTAAAGTACTAACTTTAGCTAAGAAGCAGTAGGACTTCTAGACATACCTAATCGATACTTGGAAGTAAGAAGTAAATGAAAGCGCCATTAAGAACCAGTCTCATTTACCACATGCTTGCGACTATAACACTGAACATAGTACATAAAATAGCTTATTTACATAGCCGTAACTAGATGACAAACTAACTGAGTTATTTTCTGTATAATATGGATTAATGAAATGATAGTCATCTACGCGCTGACAACCCGTCTGACAACTTGACAAATTGGACTCAAATTAACTATTAGGCTGAGATCATACTTGATTCCAAGTGATTGCGATTTCATATATATTCATACCTATTGTATTTTCTACAACTAGAAGTAACATTCGGCGTTTAAAACGTTCAAATACTAAATGCAATTAAAATTTATATTTTGTCACTTTCAGTCACTTCTGGAATAAAAATAAGAATCAGACTACCAGTAGGAGATGTTACTGCAAACAGAGTATAAGCTAGTGAAGGACATGCAAATTTTTATTTGTAGATTGATGAAAAAAGGCTCGAAAACTGGCCTTCCCGTGAATTGACAGAAATATTAGATTGTCTACTGGAAGGCCTAATAAACAACTCGAAATGAAACAAGAAACGGTAGGAAGGCAATATTTCTTAATACTATAACAGGAGACAAGTCAGATAAATTCAACAAATTAACTTCGGGGTAAACACATGTTTCGTACCCCATATTGCCGTTTGGTGGCAGCACGGTTGATTTATTGCCATTAGGGCGATGCATCTCGCGGCGAACGGACGTGTAAGATTTTGATCGGATTTTTTATTTGATGCTAATATTTTGTGGGGTGTTTGGCAGTATTCGTACAGGTACGACTAATTGAATAGGTTATAGTTGACACTTTAGTAAATAAAAAAGCAACATTTACAATATTGAAATGTCGGTGTTTTAAAAGTTGATACTGAAGACTACGTTTTATAATTAACCGACTTCAAAATAAGAAGGGGGTTCTCATTTGAACTGTATGTTTTTTAAGTATGTGACGCGATAAGTGCAATTGTGAACCGATTTTGATGATTCTTTTTTGATGACCCAGAAGTGGTCGCATTTAAAATTGAAGAAAATATTCCACCTCTAAGGGTGGAAAACTAGGGGATGAATGACTTCGGTCGGTTTTTTAGTACTCTGTACTGAGATCG